GGGGTGGTTGCGGGGCTAGTTGGGGGAAAAGGAGGGGGGGGGGAGGAGGAGGAGGAGGAGGAGGAGAAAGATCGGCGCATTCCCAAGGTCGAAAATAAAGCGAGGAGAAAAATAAAATAGACGCCTGGCTTCAGAATAATGGGGTCTCACCCCCCAAAAAAAAAATCATTTCACATGCACCCCTTCATTACCCGTGCATCGGGGAAGGAAACGCCAGGCCTGCGTTAGCGTCTGGCTAGGATGTGGATTACTCTATACTGTAGAAAGGGTGACCCCCCCTTCCCCTCTCCCCGTGAGATTCATCAGATCAGAATTGGGCAAAAGCAGGGTCCCCTGCATGCTGCAAGTATCCGATATGTGCTTGCTTGAGGGTGTCTCTATGTATGTACAGGATGTATGTATGTACGTAAGTATGTATGTATATCTGCCTTGCTGAAGATGGCAACCTGCATTAAAATACTTTTTCTTGGTTTTTTTAAATTGTATGGGAAGAAACGGAGTGTGGGAAGCACATAAAGAATTTTGGGAGAGAATACATAATTGTGAATCTGCAGAAAGTCCCGGATTCAATTTCTGGCATCTCCAGGTGGGGGGAGAAGAGGCTCACGGGAGGTTGCTGTGAAAGCACAGCAGAATTATTGCTTTCTTTTTTGCTTTTGACTTTAGTATGACGTAAGGGCAATCTCACTGTTCCAGCATAAGGCCATTTTGAGTTGTGTCAGCTGGGTAAGGAGAGAAATGTTTGCTTGTCTTGATGTGAGAACAAGGAACCATAAAATTACTGCCCTTGCTCTGTGAGATGGCGAGACATTTGGCGATGTTCTTAATGACAGAAGGAGAATCATTTTTGTGCAAATTAAGCAAGCTTGCATAATTGAAAGAATGCAGTAGCACAAACCATACAAAATGACAGTCTCCTGCTTTGTTGCATAGACCTTTAAGGACTAGAGGTTCGTTGGGTCTCTCTTAATAACCACTTGTTTGTTCTGTGTCTGCTGTATGTGTGCATTGTTGCTTAAAGGAAAATGGCAGTAGTTTTGCAGAGAGAGAGAGAGTGTGTATGCAAATTGATGAAACTTTGATGACAAAGAATAGGATTGCATCATGTTTTCACTTAAGAGTTAAGGAATCTTGTGGGCCTTGAGCATTACTTCTTGAAGTATCTTTGAGACAGTTTAAACTGGAGAATGAAGAATTTAATGAGTATTCTCTCTAAATTGGGGTCTTGCCTGCTGAGAGTCATCCCACAATCCCTCTGTCCAAGCTCTCTCAGTGCTTAAAGCAAGAGAAGTGATGCTGTCATTCTCCCCCATCCCATACTGCTTCCTACTCTTTGTCTCATCCTTCCAGACCCATGGGAATATACTTTTGCTTTAAAACAAGGCATGTACTTCTTGCACACCTTATTTTTGGAGATAAATGCTGTTTTTTGTGAGTGGGGCAGAGGCAACAAATTTAGTAACAGAGTGGCAGGGGGTGAAGCATCTGGGGTGGTCAGGAGACAGTGTGTTGCCTTAACCCTTGAAGTTGCCCATCCATGAGATAGCAGGCGATGGTCAAAATTCCTGCCAGTGACCCTGGAGATAGACACTATTGACTAGGTGGACAAATAGTCTCACTGGGTATGAAATAGCTTTCCAAGGTCCTGTTGCTTTGCTAATAGCAGAGTTTGTCAAAACAATATCTGCTAACAAAAAACTGCTAAGTAATATTCTTATTTGTTTGGTTCCTTGCCCATTTTTCTAACTAAATTTTTGTTGTTGTTGTTTAGTCATGTCCGACTCTTCGTGACCCCATGGACAAGAGCACGCCAGGCCCTCCTGTCTCCAGCTTTTCTGGTAGTGGATGACTGTGTTCTGGGTGCTTCTGTTCCCAGCCAAATAGGAACTGTGAGCTTTGATACAAAGCAATGGAGAAGGCACTACATGATTTTAACAGCCCTTTCTTTGCTGTCTAGCCATGACAGCCCTTGACAGAGAAAAGGCTGTCATGGCCCAACAGGAAAAAAGTAATGTGTACAAATTTCCCAGATGATGAGAGATAATAGAACAAGGTTATGATTCCTGCAGATCTGCCCAGAATTTTCCACTCAGGAGGCAGGATTCTGGGTCTTGTAGTTTTAAAAAAAAGTTCTCCAAGTTGTGCTGCTGCTGCTCAGCTGGCTAGGAAAATGCTAATGACTGAAACAAAAAGAGGGGTGTTCCTTCAGAAATCGCCCTACCTGTGCACTACTGTTTTGAAGCTAAGATTTGCAAATGCTCACATAATCTACAATCTTGCTGTAATTACCATCTGTGGCATGGCTTCCAAAATAGGAAGTTGAGAAATAAACTGAACATTAACATTATTTTGAAGTGCTGATAACTAGATTACAGTACTCCATATATGTCAACTTTCCTCTTCCTCCAAGAGGAAAGCTTGGTTAAAGATGTAATTAATTCATTATTTAATTGGTCTATCTATTAATGGGCACTATAGTCAAGATACTATCCCTTGTCTTTAGTTGCAGGCTTAGTTTAGAGGCATGGTTTGGACATTTATATCCCTCTTTTCTGTGACAAACAAACTCACAGCTTACATAAAGATAAACAACATTTTACACAGGCCTTGCACAAACGTTTGAATATGAAGTGCTTTTTAAAATTCACAGTTAAGATAGCATAAATCTATCTTTGTTTTGTGTGTGTGTGTGTGAGTTGTTGATGGGTAATTGAACCAAA